CAGATGACAAACAAGAAGACGTAAAACAAACAATAAAAGAAAAGTTTATTGCTGCTAAGGCTTTACTCCATAAAGAAATGATAAAAACGAAATTAGAAACTAATGATACCTTAATGGTTGACAAATCAAACATCATTATGAGTAAATCCAAATCAGTGATAGATGATATACAAAAAGCTAACAATATTTTTTGTGAAGAAACAGTTAATCTTGCAAAGAATTTACTAGAAACAATTGAAAGGCCAGATGAAGAAACCATTAAACAAATAATAAAGGAAATAGTTGAAGTTGTTAAGGTTACATCCCAACAAGCAATGAAAGAAAAGCAACCAGAAATTAATGACACCTTAATGATTGAAAAACCGGACGTCAATTTGAGTAAATCTAAACCAGTAATAGATGATAAACAAAAGATTAACAATTTTCGTAAAGAAGCAGTTAATCTTGCGAAGAATTTACCAGAGACAATTAAAATTTTAGATAGTAAACAAGAATCCATTAAACAAATAATAAAAGAAAAAGTTGAAGTTACTAAGGCTACATCCCACCAAGCAACGATAGAAAGGCAACCAGAAATGAAAAAACTGGACGTCAATATAATTAAATCTAAACCAGTGATAGATGATAAACAAAAGACTGACAGTAATTTTCGCAAAGAAGCAGTTCATTTTACGACGAATTTACCAAAGACAATTGAAAGGTCAGATGATAAACAAGTAACTATTAAAGAAATAATAAAAGAAAAAGTTGAAGTTGCTAAGCCTACATCTCAGGAAGCAACGATAGAGAGGAAACCAATAATTCATCACACCTTGATGGTTGAAAAACCGAACGTCAATACGAGTAAATCTAAACCAGTGATAGATGATAAACAAAAGACTAACAGTAACTTTCGTAAAGAAGCAGTTAATATTGCGAAGAATTTATCAGAGACAATTAAAAGGTCAGATGGTAAAGAAGAAAGCATTAAACAAATAAAAATAGAAAACAATGATTTTCCTAAAGCCATACTTCACAAAGAAATGATAAAGACGAAACCAGAACTTCAAGATACCTTAATTATTGAAAAACCGGACACCAATATGAGTAAATCTAAAGTAGTGAAAGATGGTAAACAAAAGACTAACAGTAATTTTCGTAAAGAAGCAATTAATCTTGCGCAGAATTTATCAGAAACAATTAAAAAGACAGATGGTAAAGAAGAAACCATTCAACAAATAATAAAGGAAAAAGTTGAGTTTGATAAGACTACATCTCATAATGCAGCGATAGAGAGGAAACTCGAAATTAATGACAATTTATTGTTTGAAAAACCTGTTAATAAACAAAAGATTGTGGTGAACTTTCCAAAAGAAACGGCCAATGTTGCTATTAATTCAAAGCCTATGAAAAGATCAGTTAGTAAAGAAAAAATTACTAAAAAAATAAGAAAAGAAATGGTTGATGTTGGTACATCCTTGCAAAGAAATATGCAGGATAAGGAAAAAAGTAGTATTACATGTTTACCGACTCCTGCAGTAGTTGATGAACAAAAAAATATTTATAACAATTCTCTCATGCCAATGATAGTAGATAAGGAAGAATCCATTAAAAAAGTAACAAAAGAAATTGCTAATTCCACTACTTATATATCTTCGCAGCAAACTATTAAAACGAAACCAACTGAATCTGAAGGAATGACAAGTACAAATGTACCAAAACTAATGGTAATTGATGCTAAAAATTTACCACATCCAATAATAAATACAGCTGATAAACAAGAAAATAAATTATTAATAACAGATATTGCTAAGGAATTATGTCGTCAAGGAAAAAAGCCAGTCGTTGATACGCCACCACCAATGATTGATGATAAGCAACAATCCGTTAAACTAATGAAAACAGAAAGAATAGATGTTGCCAATGATACAGTTTCCCAACTCAAAACGAATATACCAACGCAAGTGATAGTTAATAAACAAGGATACTTTTCTAAAGAAACATCTAATACATCTAATGATACACTTAAGCCAACGTTAAAAACAGGCGATTTACAACAAACCATATCTAAACTATCAATGGATATGGCTAATGACAATAAGGATAAATCATCGCAATCAATTGAAAAACAAGAGACAAGTAAAATCGTCAATAAGAATATAACAAAAGAAATTATAGCTGAAACAGAAGGAGTCATTAATAATAAACCAAAAGAAGCAAGAGATGTTTCATTGCAATCAATATCGCTTGTATGTGAGAAACATAAAGATATTAAAGAAATGTCAAAAGAATCCGTAGATGCAGCTGATCTTAACAACAAATTAACTGGATCAATGATAGACAACAGTCAAGAAACTATTAAAAACGAAACATTATTAGAGAATGAAGACATCATGTTGGAGCGTCAGATGAACTTGCAGTCGGATCGTCTAAAACTTAAAAATCGCAATGAATGTTTTAAATCAATTTATTTAAGTCAATTTGATCTACAAATGATTGATGAGAAAAACGGCAATAATAGAAAAAATGAAAGCAATTCACAAAGCGTAGGCGAAGGTAATGCGAATTTTAGAAATGCAAACATTATCTCCGAAGAGATGAAGAATGAACAAGGAAGCACTGCAGAATCGTTAGTTAATAGAAATTCTATAAACGATTGCGAATTAATTGAATTAGCAGATGATAGTGAATTAAATATGGTACCATTTGATGGTTGGTTTACAGAAAATGCTCATGATTTTGATACAAATACACATAAATTACGGACGTCTTCAAATTCGTCAAGGGACAATAGGAATCTTGGTGCAAAATCGACGAATCCATCAATTAAAATTAATAATCGAAGGGAATCTATGGAATCCACTGCTGAAATAGATACTGACGACCTTCAAAATTACAATGACTATCACCAAAATAAGAGTAGATACTCCATTTATCCAAAACAAATGCCACACTTAACAAACCAGAAACATAAACGCAATCGAGGATTGTATAAAAAAGGAAGTAAGTACGGAAATTATGATAGCAGTAGGCAACGTCAATCTCGAAGATTACCTATTTCCATAAAAAATAAGACAAGGGGAAAACGTTACAGTCCTAATAGATTACAATTTTTTGATAAACACGAGAGTCCCTCTACTTCATACCAAAATGACCAATATAGTAATCCACTTTTAAATATAACGAAGGTTCGGAACAATCGAGTATCTTCTACTCCGGTCTCAAGCGATAGTTGTAATGAGAAATTCTCCGACTTGGATAGCGATAAGACACCTCCAATGCGTCAAGAAAATGTGCAACATGATTACACTGAATTTTCAGATGATAACATTAATCCGCTATATAAGGGGAACGAGCGTATGGATAATAATTTCGAAAAATCCAACTGGTTTCCTGAACAAAAGAGAAGAACCTTTTCATCTGTGCTATCTTACCAATCCGACAAGCACCGACTTTCACAGTCATTTGGAGATCAAAGAGATAGGTATCAGGAGAAACCAAGAGTTGTACATCACACCAGCGATTTTAAAAGAACATCGCTGAAAAAAGACGAAACCAATTTCAATAATGAAGTACTTGATTATGATAGAACCCCATCGTCGCCCCCGCCACGGGAATTAGCCTACGAGAGTAATAGGTTTTGTATTAAACAAGGTAACGAGAGTGATGTTATGGTGACTAACATAAAGAGAGCTTCAGAATATATTCAAAAAACGCTGTCACCTTATACAGCAACAGCATATTCTAACAGTCCAACCCACCAGGTAAATAAAATAAACGTATTGGGGAATTTCAAATTTAATGATACATTGAAAAATTCTCCGAAAAAGGCTTCAAATGCAATAAATCCAGCAATAAACACATTAATCAAGGAAGAAATAAGTGCAACAGAGCCAAGTATTGAAGTAAATACTATCCATGAAATTGATTCTATGATATTGCAACCCACCTTGATTGAAGTAGAAAACATTAACAAAGCTGACAATTCTGCGATCAAATCTGAGATTGTTCAGGATTCAGCAATAAATATAACAAATAATGATAATGAAGTAACAACATCGCACAGTAAACATGTTAACGTAAGAAAACGTAAAGATATTATCAAAACTTCTTTAATAATGAGTGAAATTATACAACAAGAAGATAGCATTTCAAATAATACTTTTGATAATAAACAATCTGATGAAAACAAATTAATGGATGAAGTAGTATGCAACATCATTGAAAATAAAGATATTTTTGCCGACAATGCAATAGTAGAAACTACTGAATATTCTGTAAACTCAGGTATAGTCGAAAGTGAAAGCTACATTCAGAATGTGCATGAAAATTTGGTAAGTTTGGAAAGTAATATAATCACGAAATCTGATGAAGTTGTTTCTAATGAAATAGTAGATACAAATTTATTGCAACCATTCACTAATGTAGAAAGACAAGATTTTCAGTCCGAGAACAAAGATCGAGAGATCAGTCAAATTAATGAATCAGGAAAGGAAACAGTTAATGATGATTATAACGAAGAAAATAATTGGGTTGAATCGACCAAATATGAAAAAACTGAGAAAGAAATTAGCGGACAAGTTAAATCTTATGAAACTATGTATCCGAAGATTATGGAAATACTATCTGGCCCGATCATTGCCGAAAATTTGGAAACTCAAATTGATTTAAGTGAAGAGAGGGCATTCCAAACTATAGAAACAATTTTGCCAATGAATTCTACTTCAGGAAATACAGAAACTGAAATTCCACGTGTAATTGAAACAGAAATTAAACAATCTACAGAACATAAAGTGATTGATAAATTAAAGCAAAATTCAGTGAGCGAAATACAAGAAAATGAATCAGAAATATTGCCCGTTGAGGTTCCAGAGATTATTGAGGAAAGATTTTACAAAGAGACTGTGAACACCGCTCAACTAAATATGATGGAAGATGTTGCAAATAAATCTGAAGATGAAATGATTACAATTAATAAATTTGAGATTCCTGTTACAGAAGATTTCAAAGAAAAGGAAGGAACAATACCAAAAGAAATGTCCATTCCTTATTCAACCATATTTGAACAATCCTATCATACTATCTCTGATTGCATAAATGATAAGTTGAAAGCTCAATCGGAAGATAGTTCTGGATCGCTAACTATTTCATTGACCGAGAGTATTTCATTGGAGGACACTTCGAATGACGATATGTTATTTGATGACACCGATGAAAAACAGAACGAACAGGTTTTACATGAAAGCATATCAGACGTAACCGGTATGCATGCAATTGAAAATATAATCGAAAAAATATCCGAAAACCCCGAAGATGAAAAAATGAACGATATTCCACAGTATACAGAAGATGTACGATTGCAAGAAGAAATTTGCGAAACTGAGAAAGAAATTATAAAAGAATCTAAAATTATTGTAGGATCTAAGGTGTCAAAAGAAAACGTAGATCTACGACATTTAGACAAAAACGTATCATCCAGTGATTTAGCAGAGTGCAATATTGAAAGTAAATCTAAATCAAATGATAAAAATGTGGTAGCAACATCAAATAATGATGTTGCGGATAATTCGAAAATCAATGAATGTGATTTTTTTGCGGACGATGATAGCATGGAAAGTGCAATACCGAGTCATAAAATTAATAAACGTAAGAAGACGAGTGGTAAAAGAAAAAATTCCAAAGCATTAAAAACTCTTGATGTGGCAGCTAAAAAGAAAATCGACAGTTTTAAATTGGCACAAATTAACCAAATTGATACTGGCTTATTAACTGAATGTTCGGATGAAGCTAATTTGGATAAAGAATGTATTACCAAAACTGTTGCTGCGCCGATCGCAGAGTTATTTGATGAAGAAAGTTTGGATAGTTTAAAGTCCACACCAAAATTGCAAATTGATACAAGCAACGACGACAGTTCTAATGATCAATTTTTGATAAAATATGTTGAGCCACCTGCGAAAAAATCCACGACTAAAAAGAATTTAGTACATTACGACGAGGATAGATCCTTAGCAATTGATCAACATGTGTGGAAAGATTTGGAAGATGCAATCTACATTGAAATGATGCCGGAGGGTGAGAAAAGGACATCGACAAGAGCTGCGAAAACAAAGGCTAAAGCTAGAATATCGACGGTGAAGTTGAGAGAGTTTGACGATTTATTGAAAATATTGGAAGATAAATCCAGTCAGAGTGTTGAAAAGAAGGAAACCAGGGGCAGGAAGAAGGTATTGAAAGAGGAAAAAGCTGTAGCAATACCGAAACCAAAATCCGCATCTACACTGAAATCGAAAGCACTAGCAACACCGAAATCAAAGGCGACTACAGCACCGAAATCAAAAGCGGTAGCAGCACCGAAATCAAAAGCAGCAACAACACCGAAATCAAAAGCGGCAACAACATCGAAACCAAAAGTAGAAGCAACACCGAAACCAAAAGTGGAAGCAGCACCGAAACCAAAAGCAGCAACAACACCGAAACCAAAAGCGGCAACAACACCGAAACCAAAAGCGGCAACACACCGAAACCAAAACAGCAACAACACCGAAACCAAAAGCGGCAACAACACCAAAACCTAAGGTGGAAGCAACACCTAAACCAAAAGCTGTAACAACACCGAAACCGACAGCCGTAAGAAATCCAAGACAAGCAAAAGCTGTTCAAACTGGTCCGAAAAAACCTAGAGGAAGACCGAGGAAAATTAAAGTAGTAGAACCATGTGAAACCATAGTTGCGACGTCTTCGAATGTTGAAAAAGAACTAGCAAATGTGAGTTACATTCAAGAAGAACTAGAACTGCAACAAGCAATGGAAACATCGTATCCAGATGTTCAGGAAATACAAGAAGAGTGCATAACAATTGCCCCTCATATTCCAACTGTTCAACAACACAGTTTAAATACTTTAGCAGCTGTTGCTTGTGATATGTTGGTAGATTTTAATGAACAAAGTAAATATATGAAAATTCAAACGGCCAAATTTCAGCCGGAAAATGACGACAGCAACGATAGTTATGAAGGTAAATTAGTTATATCTGACGAAATCAAAGAAGATGTTGTTAAACCTGAAATTAAACCAGAAAATATTCAATGTTCGGTCATAAGAGAGGTGAAGGAAGCGATGCTAGAAAACCCCAAAGAAGTTAAACCTGCTTGTGAACCATTGATACAACCGGAAATTGTTCCTTCTGCTTGTGAACCATTGATACAACCGGAAATTGTTCCTCTTGCTTGTGAACCATTGATACAACCGGAAATTGTTCCTCTTGCTTGTGAACCATTGATACAACCGGAAATTGTTCCTCTTGCTTGTGAACCATTGATACAACCGGAAATTGTTCCTTTGCTTGTGAACCATTGATACAACCGGAAATTGTTCCTCTTGCTTGTGAACCATTGATACAACCGGAAATTGTTCCTCCTGCTTGTGAACCATTGATACAACCGGAAATTGTTCCTCTTGCTTGTGAACCATTGATACAACCGGAAATTGTTCCTCCTGTTGATTGCGATGTTAAAAAACCGACAGATCATAGAATTGACGTAATTCTGGGGAATATTTCTAAAGACGAATCAACTGGAGTTTTCGCACCTGCAGTAAACAAGCAGGATGCACCGTTACGACGATCTTTGAGATCAAAGAGTGCAATATGCCAAAATAACATCGAACCTACAAATAGAAGAGCATCCGCTGATTCACATGATCGCAAATGTACAGACTTTTCGAATTTGTTCAAAATCTATGAGGCAAAAAGTGTTTTATCGAAGAAACGAGCACATGAATCTACCCTGAAAGCAACAAAATTGTTACACGAACAGCAATATGGTAATGTAGAAGTGCGAAATCTTAATACTGGAATTATTGAAAACCAAATTGATAGATTACACACAATCGCATCGCAATCTGAAGAAGAAGAAGTTCAAGCTGTGGATCTATCGTGCAAAGAAGATGCACGAGAAAGAGATAACGAGAGGAAAAGTGAATATACAACATACAACGTAGCACCAAACCCATCAGAAAGTATTATAATAAACTACAAAGTTGATTGCGAATCTAATTTATCCAAGGATAGATCTGTTAGTGTTGACATTTCCAGGAATTATGCTCGAAGGCCTTCGATTTCTAAAGAACCTACAGGCAGCGATATGCTATTGAAATGCCAAGTGAAGGATAACGAACGTAAACTCATCGAAAATTTATGCAGAGACGAAAGTGTCAGCATTACACGAATCAACTGTGAGCCACCGAAATACAGTAATGAAGTACAAACAAATGTAATTGTCCAAAATAAGTCTAAAAATATATCACAACCTGAAGTCTGCAATGTTAAAGATATAATCGTTCATGAAAGCGTAATTGTTAAAACAAGAAACGCGTCGGCATCGATGCAAAATAAGGAACAAATAAGTCCCAAAATGAAACAAGATCTGGAACCGATGGCTGTTTTAACACCTACATCCTATTCAAATCAGATGAAGCGAAGATGTTCGGTGGAGGTAGAAAATTTGATAAAGAAATTGAAATTTAATCCAGAGCTTGCAGTGGATCCTGTGGATATGAGAAAAGACAAGAAGACGGTTCGATCGCCGTACGAGAAACGTAAATCTATTAACGATGTTGTAGTTAGGCTTTCATCAAATAATCAGGAAAAGCTCCAGATGGAATCACTAAAAACGCCTATCGAAGATATGGCGGAAATAACACTGATCAAATTAAACCCCGAACGCGCTGTGAGTGCTAATGTTTTCGAAGTTAACAAACATGAAGAACCTACTGTAAGTACATTTTTTTCACAAAACAAAATAAATAAACCTGTTTTTAATATAAATTTTTCACATGTTAAGAAACCAAAAGAAAATATCGTGAATATGGATGTTTCAAATGTTCATATACAGAGAGAACCTCTTGTTAAGAAATTGAGAGAACCTGTTAACAATATGGATGTTTCACATGAGAAGAAACCTATTATAAATATGGCTGCTTTACATGTTGAGAAATCAATGGAACCTGTCGAAAATATGGATGTTTCACATGTTAAGAAGTTGCAAGAACCTATCATGAATATGACTGTTTTACATGATAAGAAACGAAAAGAACCTATCATTAATATGAGTGTTTCACAGGAGAAGAAACCAAAAGAACCTATCATGAATATGGCTGCTTTACATGTTAAGAAATCAAATGAACCTGATGTAAATATGGATGTTTCGCATGTTAAAAAATTGCAAGAACCTATCAGGAATATGACTATTTCACTTGATAAGAAACCAAAAGAATCTATCATAAATATGAGTGTTTCACATGAGAAGAAACCAAAAGAACCTATCGTGAATATGGCTTCTTTACATGTTAAGAAATCAAACGAATCTGTTGTAACTATGGGTGTTTCACATGTTAAGAAGTTACAAGAACCTATCAAGAATATGACTGTTTTACATGTTGATAAACCAATGGAACCTGTCGTAAATATGGATGTTTCACATGTTAAGAAGTTACAAGAACCTATCATGAATATCGCTGTTTCGCATGATAAGAACCTAAAGGAATCTACCGTAAATGTGGATATTTCTCATGTTAAGAAACTGAAAGAACCTTCCATGAATACGCATGAATTACATATTAAGAAATTACAAGAAACTGTCATGAATATGTCTGTTACACATAATAGGAAACCAAAGAAACCTGTGCTAAATATGGATGTATCAGATGTTACGAAGTTACAAGAACCTATCATTAATATATCAAAGGAACCTGTCGCAACTATGGATGTTTCTTGTGTAAAGAATCATCAGGAACATATCGTGCAAACGCATGAATCAAATGTTAAGAAACCTCAAGAACATGTCGTGAATATGGATGTTTCATATATTAAGAAATCATCTGTAGTTAATATAGCTGCTACGCATGTCAATAAACTCAACGAACGTATAGCGAATATAGATGTTTCACATGTTAAGGAACCAAAAGAACCTATCATGAACATGGCTGTTTTACATGGTAAGGAACCAAAGGAATCTGTCTTGAATGTAGACGATTTACATGTTAAGAAACATAAGGAACCTGTTGTGAATATGGATGTTAAAAAACTGAAAGAACCCATTGCGAACAAATCATTAGAATCTGCAATTACAACAAGTATTTTACAAGTTAAAAAAGAACCAGTTGTCAATATGGATATTTCACAAGCTAAGAAACTAAAAGAATCAGACGAGAATTTGGATATTACTCAAGTTAAAAAAGTAAAACAACCTAAGGATGTTTTACAACTCAATTTTCAAGCTATTTCACAAGCTGCCGTGGAGTTGGATGTTTCACATGTTAAAAATCTGAAAGAACCCGTCGTCAATATGGATGATTCTCAAGTTGTGAAACTGAAAGAACCTGTTGAAAATAAGAAATTTTTCCATGTCAAAAAGCTAAAAGATCTTTCGAGCTCAGTTTACCAAGTTATCAAACTAAATGAACAAGCTGATCGTCTTAATATATCTCTTGTTAACAAACCAAAAGATATCGTGAATACAGATGTTTATCAAGTAAACAATCCAAAACGACCAGTTCTGAGTATAGAAGATTTTCATGTTATTAAAACAAAAGAGACTCTTGGTTTTTCTCAAGATGGAAAATCAAAAGATATTAAGGAAATCGATTGCAAGAAGCCTGAAAGATTGGATAAGGAAATAGTTGTAAGTAAACCGATCGAACCACTGGCGGACTTCAATTTACCTGATCTTTCGATTGTGAGAAATTCCGTTGATGCGAATGTCATAGTTATTCCTCCTTTCAACGAAGAAACTGCTGAGATTTTATCGCATATAGATAAAGAGGATAATAGTCTTCTTAAGAGTGAGACTAAATCCAGTGAAAATGAGGCGGTATCCTTGGGTCCTCTAATGCCAAACAACAGCTTGAGAGAAGCCAGAAGTACATCGCTGAATCCATCTCCAACTGGAAGTAGCGATTATCAGTATCCGGACCAAGACAATATTTACGGTTATGGCGATGAGTATTTTATAATCGCAGCAGACGAAAATATTATTTGCAAACAAACTAATGCTGATAATGAAGGAGATTACATCAACAATGTGCCAGAAGTTCAAAATCCGGTCGTCGTTGAACCAATGGAAACCGAAATAGCCGATATAGTATTAAAAGAAAAGGAGGTTGCTTCTTTGATGAGTTGCAATGAGATGCAATCATATTTTATACCATTACCACAAGCGGATGCTCAGCCTCCAGCGCAGGTGATTGATAATAATGTTGCAACGGTTCAAACGAGTCCGGAAGACAATCCTCAATCTCGACATGAAACAGGTCACATAAGTAGAATAGGCTCAGATGAAAGACATTCAAGTAGTAAAACTAAATCATCAAGCAAGAACAGAATATCGCAAACATATCGTAAATCCGAAGAGCAACCATTTCCTTCCACATCTAATACGGATTTGAAATCTAATCACCGTTCAACGAAAAATCAAGAGACGCCTTCTCACAGAATCACAAGATCCGAATCAAAAGCTAAGATAGACAATTTGGAACCGATCACTTCGAGAAGGAATCTTCGCTCCAGAGTATCTACTCCTCTAAGGAAACCAGTGAATATTTCGCCCGCGAGGAAATCATCCCCACCGCCAGTACCGGTCGAGAGAGAAAGATTGTCAGCAGTTATTACTGATAAGGATATAGAGGATTTGGTGGAGTGCAAACTTCCTGAACCAAAAGAACTATCTAGCGCAAATGTAGCTCACGTCGAGGGATTGGATGAACTCGTCGCAGAGAAAGCTAAGCAAATCGCTCGAGCCAACGAGCTTTTTAATTACGTGCAGGAAATGGACATAAACAAACTTCCGAAACCGAAGAATTTTCGTATTGGCAGTCACGAATATCTGTCGCATTCGGCGGATAAATCGGGCGACAGTGAGGATAGCCTGTCGAAATCCTGCACTCCAAAATCTCGATCTAGTTCAGCCGATGCATCAATATCTATGAGGGAAGGATATAGGGTATGTTCACCGGAATTCGGAGCAGATACGTGCTTCACTCGTATTGACAAATCCCATATATCTCGGAAGAGAACGAAACCCTCCGATAATCGACGTATTCCACCGTACAATAACGATAAACCGCACAAAAGGACGGCACTATCGTCTCGCGGTCAATCTATGCCTTCATCAGATGTCACAGATTTCCCAGCAAAGACCACCTTGAAAAGTATCGGTACTTCGTTTGATTCTCCATGCAAGAGATCGTCAATGTCAGCCCGTGACCGCTCGAGGCCTTCTATCCCAGATCCAGTCTATCCATCAAACTCTTCTCTCAAAAATACTGGTAATTCACGAAAGAAAAGCACTAACTCTTCATCACCCAATGATTTAGCGTCCGTTCCAGAAGTTCAACCAGGCACCAGCTCCA